AACAAAATATCAATTCAAAATCATAATATTTTCCTTTATAGATGCCAAAATATATTATGAAGTCTAAACCATGATTTTTCTTTTAAAAATATTCAAACAATTCTATTACATATTAAAATTAATTATGAATTTCAAATCATGAGTTTTTTTTTTAAATCTGAACGCCCCTATACATGTTAAAATTATAATTTTAGGTTTATAATAATTAATTTTGACAATAGAAGTGTTTTAATATATTTTCACAAAATTATGGTTTTGGCTTTTAAAATTAATTTTTAATACCATCCAAACATGCACCATGTAAATTGGTTGAGCCTTTCTGAATAATCCCATTAGAAATTATAGTACACGATTGAAAGAATAGAGGAAATCATGTGATTATCGATGATGACGAGAAGAACGCATAATACACACAGACATTGTCACGTGGTTGTTGGCAAAATGAAGTTAGAATATTTTTCACCAACGGAGTAAATATAACGTTTCCACGAATACATGGCTCCATGATATATACTATTCTTATTGTTATAAAGGCATTATCAATATTCTGCACTTTTTTTAATTTTTCGAGAATTAAATCAGCTTATTCATAAAATTTTAGATTTGAGTCTTATAATATTTAGTTGCGTACATTAAAAAAATATTAAAGATATTGCTGAAATACCCGTCAAGTCACCATTATTAGTTAAAGGTGTTCAAAAATTAATCAAAATCAATGACACCAAACCAACCGAACCAAAGCGACATGAGCTGATCAAAATCAATTATAAATAAGTTTTGGTGTGGTTTTTATTTTAATAAAATGAATTGGTCTGATTTAGTTTAATTTTTTATTTTTTAAAACTTGAACCAAACCAAATCAAGCTTTATTATATTTATTTTATATATTTTTATAAATTTGTCTAATTTTTTTCTCTTTCCTAAATTTAATTATTTATAAATTGATGGTTAAAAATATATTACAATTAGTTAAATATTATCTACAATTTTTATGATATTTTTTAAAGACACTTATCTATAATTAATTAAATATTGTCTACAATTAAAAAAAATGATACTCCCTTTGTTTAAAAATATAAGGCATTTTTAATTGAATCTCACCCCCAATAAAGTAGTTACTTACTTTCCAACTAACCCTATTTTTTTATATTTATCCCTACTAAATACCCTATAATAAATATAAAGTTATTATCAATAGGGGCATTTAAAAAAAAACAATGATTACACTTCAAAAAACTAAAAAATTCTTATATTTTTTAACATTCAACTCCTCAAAAAATGTTTTATATTTTTGAACAGATGAAGTTTTATATATATATATATATATATATAACAATAAAAGGTTATTGTTGTTAGTATTTTTTTTTGCAAATTAAAGTAACTAACTTTGTTTAATATTTTTCTGCAAAAATTAATGCTCAAATGTCATCATAAATTTATAATAAACGTACTTTTATCAAGCACAAGCAAACTGAAATTATATAATTCAAAAGTTATTTGCAATTTTATTAGTTTTTAATAATTAATGATTTGAAGATGCATATGTATAATCACTTTCCTATTAGTATTTTCATGCTGTTAACAATATTTAGAGAAAAGTAAAAAAAATCCTATCAACTATCAAGTAGCTATATAAACGCACTTTACAAAGAAAAATGACACACTCATAATCAGTGTAAGTTATAAAAAAGAAAAAATAATAATAAATGTATTGAAGCTTAATCTAAATCTTAACCAACTCGAATCAAATTGAAAACCAAACCAAAATGATTTCTTGAAACACTGATTAAATTGTCATCATGAGTGAACCTATTAATTTGGTTCAGTCTAATTTTTGCTTAAAAATCAAACCAAACTAAACCTGTGAATACTCCTATTAATAGTAAAAACAGTCTTACACAATAAAAGTTTAAATTAGTTTGTGCATATGGTTGTAATACTTTTGGGTTTCTCATATATTGGGCAATGGAAATAAAACTTTGTGTTATTAATCAATGAATCAATCTTTTAGTTTTTTTTTCCCCATGGCGCATGTGATATCTTGAATACATTCCACATCAAACTAAAAGAACTTAAGAAAGCCTAGACTAATCCAAATAGATCGAGTCAAGACATGATCCTTTTAAGCAAACCAATGCTGCTACATTTTTGGAATTTGAATTAATTTAGATCTTTAATTATGCTAGTAAAATTTGCTTATGAGTTAAACTAAATGTCTGGGGTACTAATTAAATCCTTTGTTTACAAGTCACAAAGCCACAGAACCATGCTATTCATTCTTTAGATGATGGACCATATTTGAATAATAGTATTTAATTTTCCATTAAACAAAACGTGAATATAAGATAAATTCCATTTAAACGTTTTCTGGCCGATCAATTTAATTAAATGTGTGCCGGTGAGCGACAGACGCGTGGGCCGATGGATATGAACAGCTACATGATTTAATTCCATTGGATAGGAGACAAGCTTCGACACTGACAACTAACCCTACATGGCAAAAAAAGACACTAACATTATTGAAATTTCATTTAAAAAAAACAAAAACACACACATTAATACTGACCTAAAGAAATTATGGATCTTCTAGATCTTTTTCAAGTATTGATTTATTTTTCATTGATTTGATATTGTTATTGTATACATAAATGCGTATCTATGCATGTTATTTTGATTTATTAAAAATTAATATACTATATAAAAAATATAAGGATAACATTTAAAAAATTGTTGCGGTTAAACTTGTGATTTCATAAAAAAGTTAAATATATTCAAGCCCACTGCAACACAATGATGGAAGAAATGCTGATAATATTTCCAACCATTTCATGTATTAAAAAAAGTTATTTTTTTAATATTATTAAAAAAATGTATTCTCATTTTTACTTTTGGCTTCAAATCATAATACTGTTACATGAAATACCTTTACATTAATCAAGAAAGGGAAAAATTAAAAAAAAATTAGTTTAATTATTACAAGGTTTTCTTCATTTTGAACTAAAAATTACTTTTAAAAATTATCTTATAAATAAAAATGAAGCGAGCACCTTAGTGCTTGAACATATCTCAAACATGATGGGCTTTAATAGAAGGACACCTTTAAGAAGTTAAAAAAAAAAAATGGTGAAATATACATAAATGAAAGTTTAAACAAAGAGTTGAAATCAAAATAATAAGCTTGCAAACTATAGAAACATATTTTTCTATTTTAGTTTATTTGAACGTAATAAATATGTTAAAATTATTTTAGAAATTTGATCATGGCCATCAAAATATCGTCCAAAAATAATCGTACATTCAAACTAATGGAATGCCCGGATTTCAAATTATTATATTTTGAAGTTTAGAGGGAAATGACATATGAGAGATGATGAGAATGCCATCTTTTTTTTTGGCCTTTTATGTGATAATCATGAAGATATTTTTATAATTGCAATAAGCATGCTATTTCATTCCTCATTCTATCTAAAATAAAACTCCTACTTTAATTCCTACAGGGTTGATGTTTTGTTCATTTCTTCTATAAAGTAAAAGTAAATTTAGTATAAAACATGTTTAAGAGGCACACTTGGCTTGTTTATCGGATATAATCAGATATTTATACCAAAAGAAAAAAAATAAAAAATACAAGATTATAAATTTAATTGTTGTATAAAAAATATATAAAAAAATATAACATTTAATAACCATCTTAAAATGATTTTTAAAAGTAATTAATTTTAATATTTACAACTCGCACAATCTTAAAATGGATTTGGATAGGTTCAATCAACCTTATGAAATGATTCCCTGTGTAGCTACTTTTTGTAGACTGTAAGACTGCAACCAAAATCACAAAATTTATTGGCTGTATTTTAGTAAGATAAATTCATTGGTTAGTCTCAACAGCCTTTAGTTTTAAATCACCGAAGTCAAAGTCAACATAAATAATAATGTGATTAGTTAAGTTGTCATCTTTTCATTTTGGCAAATCAACATAAAGGTCTCAAAAAAAAAATTAATTTAAGTTAAATTTTAAATATTAAATTTTGAAAATTTATAACTCAACCTCTTAGTTTTTATAATTTTATTGTGATAAATTTATAATTTATATTTAAAATTTTAACAAAAAAATATTTTTTTATTCTTCAACCTTGTTAAAAATAATTTTTTTATTTTTTAATTAATTACCAAGACTTGAATCAGAAAGTAAATCAACGAAAATTTCTTAACAACAAAATAGATAGGTGTTGTTGTACCAAATTGCCATGAACACTCTTAATCGGTTGAATTCATTATACTAATAAATTGATTTTAGAAAAAATATATGCAAATATAAATAATATTTAATATATAAACTTTTAATAAAGGGACTTTTGTCAAACTAAAAATCAAACAAACACATAATTTTTCTTGTGATTTTTATTTGTGGTTTCTACAAAGGTTGTGTTGCAAAAAAAAAATTGCGAGAGAATTATTTTTAATTGAACTTGATAATATTCCAATACGATAGCAGCTCTATAAAAAAAAAAACGGTTGCAGTTAACTTTTATTTTTGGTAATAACATTAACTTAATCAGATTATTAAATAAGCATGTTTATCTATTTATTGCTGCTTTAAACCCACACACACTAAACCTCATGCTTTTCTTTTCGTTGCTTTAAAATTATTACTCTTACGCATTTTGGCCAAAAAAAAAAAAATTACTCTTGCACATTATTTATTGGTCAGCAAACTGCCAAATTAAACCATGCAGGAGAGGAGGCTTTCCCATTATTTCTGGGTAATTTCTCATGCACGACCACATAAAATATCTGACACAACACACTCTATATCCACTACATTTAATTTCCTAAAAAAGAAAATTAAAATCCACTAAATTAAATTAAATTAAATCTCCCACCAAACTTCATCTTCATATTAATTAATTCCGTCCACATCACTATTATTACTATTTTTCTCCAATCTCTCTCTGATCAGTGATCACAAGTATATAGAAAGTGCATATATATCCCAGCGTTTGTCATTGAATATATCCAAGCTTTCTACACAAAAATGGAAAGCAAACACATAATATTATCATCTCTGCTTTTGGTGACGGTTCATTTCGTTATTGTTGCTCATTGCAATAATAAGGTCCCTGCAGTGATAGTTTTCGGGGACTCTACAGTGGATTCTGGAAACAACAACAGGATCGCCACCGTTCTCAAGAGCAACTTCAGGCCATACGGCCGTGACTTCCAGGGCGGCCGCCCCACCGGCCGGTTCTGCAACGGTCGTATGCCGTCAGACTTCATCTCCGAGGCTTTTGGTATTAAACCTTACGTGCCTGCGTACTTGGATCCCTCCTACTCCATCAAGGATTTTGCCACTGGCGTTTGCTTTGCTTCTGCTGGAACTGGGTATGATAATGCAACTTCCGATGTGCTTGTAAGTCTCCGTTATGCTTTTCTTTTTCTTTCTTTTAAGGTTCTGTTTGAGGATTGTTGGACACTAAATGTGGGTAACTTTTTTAGTATAGATTCAAACATTGGTTTAGGCTAGCTCCTTATGGTAGACTCAACACCATTCTTGGTCATATGCTTTTTCTTTTAATAACACTTCAAAATTAAACAAATTTTTTTTAGGGATTATTGAGCGATTTTATTTTTTAAAAAAAATCACTATAAAGTCATATGAATTTACAAAATTGCTCTGAACTCATTTACTGAATTTGTATAGTTATCAATTGAATTACTATTAGGACTTATCTAATAGTAATTGAAATTTTTAATATTATATGTAGATTTATTGTGTGGGATTTTAGAGTGATTTTTCCTTTCACTTTTCCCTCTTTTTTTGTTTAAAAAAATTTACTACTAACCTAGCACTTTCTCATAGAAAAAGAAGACGTATACTCACACACACGTACAAACATATCAACACTAAGCTCAAACTCGTGACATTTTTTAAGTTAAAAATAGAAATACGTGCAGTCTTATCTGTGATTTATTAAAAAATTTAATTAAGATTAGTTTACGTGTAAGTATAAGTCATCCTTAATTTGTTTAAGAGAAAGATAATTAATTACAAAACTTATTTAACAAGTCGATCGCTTTTTAAATGTTGTCAATTTCATAACAGTAGGTAGAGTGCACTTATCATATAAAGACTTGTTTAAATGCGTGCCATCTACTTGTTAAACGATAATTTATTAAACTATACATATTTATATTAATATTTCCATGATTTTTTTCAAAAAAAGAGAGGATCCAGTGTCAAATGAATGCAAAATATATTTCACCAGTAACGTGTTTTCATCAAAATATTCCAAAAAATAGTATACTTTTTTTTATCAGAGATTTTTTAAACAGAATACTAATATTACATATTCTTTTTGTCTTATTTTATAAGACATTGTTGGAAATGATTTGATATCTAAAATATAAGATATTTTGAAAAAAAAAATAAAGTTTCATTAATAATGATTATTTTAATATTGCTCTTTAAATAAATTTCTTTCCTTTTCTCTCATTAATGAAGGGTATTTTTAAAAGTTTATAGAAAAATTAAGAATTGAAAATTTTAAATTATATTTAATGAATTTTATTAGTATTTAACCCAAAAAAAAAATTCATTAGTATATAGTAAAATTTTATTAAAAATGCTTTACAAATTAGGATGGAGAAGGAGCATACAACTCTCTCCATCTCAAATTATAAAATACTTTTAGATAAAATCTCACATATTAATAAATTTCATTAAATACAGTTAACAACTTTATTTTTTTCAAAAAAAATAAAACTTTTAAAATTATACTTCATTTAATAACCTTAAATCTACACTTAAGTAGTACTATTAAGTATAGAGGGGGAAATGATAACATTGAAATAAATTAAAGCTATTTAATAAAATCTTAATATTCTCAAATTGTTTTATATTTTAGAATACCGAATTTTCTTTAAAAGTATCTTATATTTTGGAAGGGATGGAGTATTTTATTACAAATTATAAATTTAATCTACTACTATAAAAGCTTTTATTGACAGTTTGTGCGTTAGTTCAGTGTTACCTCAATTACACACATCATTAATTAATATTTTAATTTTTTATCCTCTAAAACATGTCCATATTTTGTGTGTGTTAAAGTTTACGTAGTGATCTAAAAATATATTTTTTCTGATAATCGCAAAAACAAAAAAAAAACACAAACAAAATGAGTGCAAATTTTCATAAACGAAAAATAAAGCATACTTTTTATAAATTATAGGAGTATGTATATACATGTTGGGGGGGGGGGTGGGGGTGTGTGGTGGCAGCTACCAATTTCCCAATTACTATTACTGGATTCAAAATTAATGCATGTTCCCAACTACTGCTAACTGTATGTCATCTATCTATCATGATCCATACATTACATACATAATGATATACATATACATGTATGCATGGTGTGTGCAGAATGTGATCCCACTATGGAAGGAATTAGAGTATTACAAAGAATATCAAGCGAAGCTGAGAGACTACCTTGGGGTTGAGAAGGCCAATAAGGTGATAAGTGAGGCACTTTACTTGATGAGCCTCGGAACCAACGACTTCTTAGAGAACTACTTCCTGCTCCCCACCAGGAGGCTCCAATTCAGTGTGCCGCAGTACCAGGATTTCCTGGTGGACATCGCCCACGATTTCATCACGCGGCTCTACCACCTTGGAGCTCGCAAGCTCTCCCTCACGGGGCTCGTCCCCATTGGCTGCCTCCCCCTGGAGCGGACCGTCAACATCTTAGGCAATCACGAGTGTGACCACAAGTACAACGACGTCGCTTTGGAGTTCAACAAGAAGCTCGATAGCATGTTGACCAGGCTCAGCAAGGAGCTTCCCTTGTTGAAGGCGGTGTCCGCCAACGCATACGACTTCGTCAACGACATTATCACCAAGCCTTCCTCCTACGGTAAGTTTCATTTCCATGTTATTAATTTATCATTTATTATTATAGAAAATACAACGTAAGCCTCTATATTATGATTACGTTTTGTTTTAAATTTTTTATAGTTTTATTTTATTATTTTCAGTTCCTCTAATTTGATTTGTCTATAATATAATTAATTCTTATATTTTAAAAATTACATATAAAGATTATGAGTTGATATTGATGAAATTATAATTTTGTTTTAATTCTACTAACTTCTTTACCATCATGATAAAAATATATTAATATGAAAATAAATTGATATATGATTAAAAATAAAACGGATGAACAGCAGGGGATATGAAGGAAAAATTAAGCACATGTTAGCTAGCAAATGGATTAACAGAGTTAAGTATGCATCAGTAAAATTAATTTCCTTGGTACTAGCTTGTTAGTCTTTATGTGTAGTTTTAAAATTATAGAAACTAATGTTGTAGATAGATCAAACTTTAAAACACTTGGAATAATGAAATAAAATTATAAGGATTAAAATTAAAACACAATCATAGCAAAGGGATCTATTGTTGCATTTTTCTTAAATTCTTCTTCTTCTTCTTCTTCTTCTTCTTCTTTCTTATTAACGTTATAATTATTATAAATCATAATACAACAAATAATAGTAAATAGTAGAAGGGGGTCTTAGATATGACGTGTACGAGAGTGATGACCCTCTCTACCCTGATATTCCGTTCACACGGTGGGATTAAATGAGACATTGACTGATAATTATTACTTATCCATAACTCCATCTGATCTACCTGATTTTTCTTGCAATGTATTAGCTTTCTAAAGCCAAGATTATGTCGGTATGATTTGAATAATTGGTAACGTACAATAAGTGAAAGACTTTGATCAAAACTTGAATAGCGAGCACAATTATGTCAACACAGTAATATTGTGAGTGTATAACAACAACCAACATTGAAGTCGCCTGGAACACAGTTACTGGGAATCAGGACCAAGGTTATTATATATCTAACTACCCTCATACGTACTTGCTTCTGCGACTGTAATGATATATATGTACACATAAGAAATTAGGTTGTGTTGAAGAAGAAGGTTAGTTGGAGATGTTATTAATGGCGATTGGTGGTCACCTGAGCTGGCTTTGCACCGTTACTCAACTTTTAGGTTTGCCTTTACTTCTCATCATCAATTCTAAATTCACATTCACAACCAAACACCTTATACTTCCCTATACATTATTGTTCCAGCTCCAACCCATATTTAGCCCCCCCCCCTCTCTCTCACACACACACATTTATGGATCGGATCCAAATTTTTTAATAAATGAATAAATTGAACAATCTTAATAATTAATTATATATATATAGTCACTTTCACAGGTTGAACTTACATTTGTTTAATACATTATTATTAGCAACTATTCTAAATTACGACATAAGCACTTAGTACTCATTGTTCTTTTATTTGAAGACAAAATTATATATCGTACAAAAATTACATATAGTAAGTACTCATCATGTCGCGTCGGGCGAAAATTACCTGCTGACTATGGACTTTATTGTCGCATCTATCTAATTAAAGCATGTTGCATGCTTTTAATTTCCCTTGCCAGTAGGTTAAAGTAAATTAAATTTCCCGATACATCAATTTTCATGGTTAATGTGGTTCTTCCTACAGACGGATTTGGATCAGTCAGATAATAGATATCCTACATTTGGGCATTTTCTTTAGGTGAACAAAAAGCTTAGGTGAATTGGGTATAAGGATTCACTGGAATCAGAGCATGCTTCGTGGTTAAAGAGCACATATTGAAAGTGGGATTATTTGAAGCTATAGCCTTATGAACTATGAACTGAATCGTCATTTATCTGGATCTATCTTTGTTAGATTACATTCTCTGGGGATTTTTCATTTCAGTGATGATTAAAAAAATAAAGATGGGGTACTTGGCATGCAGGATTTGAAGTGGTGGAGAAGGCATGTTGTTCGACAGGAACAGTCGAGATAAGCTATCTGTGCAGCGACAAGAATCCATTGACATGCAAAGACGCCGACAAGTATGTGTTCTGGGACGCCTTCCATCCCACTGAGAAAACCAACAGCATCGTCTCTCATCTCTTGATTCCTAAGCTCCTCGCTGCTTTCCACTCATGATTTCTTCATCATTCTGTCTTGATCTCTTTCTTGCATGTCTTGCAAATTAATGTACCCTCTATACATTCCTTCACTATATAATGTGCTCAGCACTTGCCGGATTTATACCTTCAAGGCTTGTTGATTTTGTTTGCAGATTTGCGAGTCCTCATATCCATATATATAATATATATGGTTTCACATATTTCATTTTAATTGGTATGATATATTTATCTAGGTTTGCAAGAAGCTAAAGATTATCTGCATTTTGCGTTATGTTTTATGTGGATGAAATGTAGTCTCTAAATTGGAGAATTTATATGTAGGAAAATTGCATATGAAATGTTGAAGTTTTAAATATATTCCCCCTATTAAAAAATATAAGACATTAATTTTTAATCGAATTTCACACCTAATGAAGTAATTACTTATTTTTAAACTAATACTATTTTTTTATATTTACTCTTATTTAATAGGAATACTTTTAAAAAAAAAGACAATAATTACATTTTAAAATACTGGAAATACCTTATATTTTTTAACATTCAACCCTTCAAAAAATATTTTATATTTTTTTAATAGAGAGAATATATGTTGACGTGATCATAGATTTAATTAGGAACTGTCATTTGTTGATAGAAACTTTTTGAAAAAATAATATAGTAGGCTATCTCAATCAAATATTTTTATTAATTATACCAGTAATTATGAGTATTTTTGAAAAAAATCATATTAATTACATCTTAAAATAGCTAAAACACCTTATAATTTTTGACATGCTAATATAAAGTATCTTGTGATATTAAATGAAGGGAGTGTGTATATATATATATATATATATATAAGATACAACAATAAAATTAATAGTGACAGAATAAAGAGAGGTACAAAATCTCTTGCAAGCCAAGATGAATAATAAATTATAAAAAATTACATCATTCATAATACGTAAATAGTGTGATTGATATAATATAATTATATATAAATTATAGAGATGTCCTAAGTTTGGGAAAAAATTGAGGCAACACCATGTTTAAGATAATAAGCATTTTAATTTGTTAGCATCGTATCAATATATATAATAAAATGTAGGCTAAAGTTTACATTTGATTATCTAATTTTATATAAGATTTTACTGTAGTCTTTTAATTTTATAAATTATCTTTTCAATTTTCCAATTCTGATACTATTAGTTTTAAATAATTATTTTTATGCTAATCATTTTTATTTTAAAAAATTAAACTTTATACGTTACACTTAAAAATATTCTGTTAAGATTAAAAAACTAAATTTAAAATTTTTTTATTGATGAAATTAACTGTTAAAATTAAAGAACAAAAGTTAGAGATAAACTATAATTATACCATTTGATATAGAAATTAAAGAACACATTATAAAATGGCATAATAGAATTGAGAATAAACTAAAAAGATGCTTTAACCTCAGAGCCTCTAGAACAAGCACCAACAACTTGTGTACCATAGCTTAACCTTTTCTTTGTTTTTTTTTTTAAAAGAAAAATACTTAGCTTTGGTTGAAAAGTTTATCTAATTAATTAGATTTGCCGTACACAGAAGCCGTGGGTCTACCTGTATCTAAGCAATTTCCAGTGGTCAAAAAAACCAAGGAATTAGCCTATAATCAACGCAACCAAAAAGCAGTTCAATTTTTGACTTTCAACACGTACAACGACCATTGGATTCTAACTCAGGGGCTCATTTATTCTACTTTATATTTTGGAAAAATTATAGATAAGTAGGGAATTAATACTAATAGATTCTAAAGTAATTTAATTCACACAAAAACATTCCATAATATTAAATTCCCCACCCTACATGTGACCATTAAATTCCCTTTATCTTAGTACCAAATGAGGTAAATTATTTGTTTTACGAACATTTTAGTCATTGCACTTTTCTATTTTTTATTTTCAGATAAGACATTGATCCTACATAATAATTTTAAAATTTTGAAGTCCTTTTTTTAATGAATAACTTCTCATATTGGTTCTTAGATGCAATTCTCTCTTGTAAGATATTCAGGGATATAGAACATATATATCCTTTAATTGTATCTTTCAAATTTAATTTAAATGCATTATTACTTTTTTTAATTTTAATTTTTCATTTCAAAGACAGTAGAATAAAAACATACATTTAAATTTTCAATTGCTACTAAACAAATGAATAATATAACTACTCTGATCACATGGTAACGTTATCTATCATGAGTTGGGAAAGCATATAGCCAAGTTGCACAAAGCACCAGAGGTGGGAGGGAGCCTACAAGACCCAAGTTAAACAGTTGACCAGAACACAAGGTTTTGACCGTACCATTTCTTATTTGTGATTTTTGGTCAAACTAAAATAAAAAAGTGTATTCTTCACAAGATACTGTTTCAAAAAAAATTATAATCTTAATAAAATATTTGGAAAAGGGTACTGTAATTCTTTTTTACAAGCACCTGGATTCCTTGCAAAAAAACAGAGGATGCTGTGTCCCTGAACAAAAGCAGATGCTTCTTTCAAATTTACTTTGATTTGAGTTTAAGAAACAGTTTGAATCCATAGCATATTACATATAATATTCTATCACTGTGCATTAGTTAGAAAAGAATATATGCCATTTGGCTTTAAATACTTGCAGCAATCTAGTTACCATTCTTCAAAACAATTGTGCTCTGGAAGCCACATATCTGAGTGAATATCACAAACAAGCACACTATACACAGTTGAATTCATTGAGTAGTGAAGATGAGCGTTGAAATATTGGATGGTGCTACCATAGTCAATTTCCTGGATGATGAAGAAGCATTCAATCTCATAGTGCAAGACAGGTTCGCTTGCCTTGACACAGACAATGATGGTCTTCTCTCATACACTGAGATGCTGAAGGAGTTGCAGAGTCTAAGGGCCTTCGAGACTCACTTTGGCATTGATGTGCAGCCTGACCCAGATGAGCTTGCCCAGGTTCTTCTTCTTCTTCTGAGTTTTTCACTGTTGGGGTTCTTCAAAATACCTACAGATTCCTTAAAAAAAGGATTTTTTTTTTTCGTCAGGTTTACGAGTCCTTGTTTCTGCAATTCGATCATAACTTGAATGGGACAGTTGATCTGGAAGAATTCAAGGAGGAGACCAAGCAGATGTTGCTGGCTATGGCCGATGGAATGGGATTCTTGCCTGTTCAGATGGTTTTAGAGGAAGATAGCATCCTCAAAAAAGCTGTTCAAAGAGAATCAAATAGAGCTGTTGCTTAAGGACATGATGTTAGTTAACTCAAATTATGTGTTGCACTGTATGTTTTCTCCTACGTCCAAATTGTCATTTTCTAGAACTTGATCACTCCCAGACAATGCAGTTTGGCACAACTGTCAAGTTTTGTAAGCTGACATACAGTTCAAGTTCCTTTAAGTTTTATTCAATATTCAGTTTCATTGCAAACTTTTTGTTTAATTTGATATTATCCCCAAATTCTTGAAAATATCTTTTATTACTACTTTTCCATAGAAATTTTCTTGAAGTAAATGATATAATATCTTGTTGGCAAAAAAAAAAAAAACATATAATATCTTCGCAAGAAGAGATTAAAAAATAGGGACAAATCAACAAGAGAATGGACAAAATGAAATGAGGTGAATCACATACATATCCTCATCCAATATGTCCCTACATTACAGAAATACTTAAATATATAAATACATTCAATTAACGTCAGAATGTTATCACTAATGGAGTTTCCAAGTTCGACAGAATGCCAATAGGTTGTCACAGGACCCAGAACTTTCATTTACAAACTAGAGTGAAACGAGTGTTCCTGAAAGTGATCAAAGTTTGCTAATAGAACCTATATCATTCTGTGGTAAAAAGAACAAGATTATGTTACAAATTACAAGATCAGATACATCTCAGGAGCTGGAATGAAGCAGAGAATGGCTTCACCAAACATATCATGTAGTGATATCAGCATACGTCCAGAATTTAGTTCATGCCTCCAAACCTGAGCAAGAGCAGCAGATGTCTTAGGCGCCTGACTTCCCTGTTTCCCACTTTTACCCCCAACATCTGAAAACGGCTTCATTAGTCCGTCCCCAAGATGGTGATGGGCCCATGGTTGAATCAGCCGATGAAGCTTGAATCCCCGTCATCCCTTCGCCATGAGAAGGCAATGAATTTGTTAGAACCGCTCCAACCTCACCGTCAGTTGCAATTTTCTTTTCAGGCGGCTGCTGTTCTAATTGCTCCAAGCTTGCATTGCGCTTACCTAGGCAATCATTGATTTGTGAGAAGAGGGGCTCAAATTTTAAACTTATAAAAAGGCATGTGGCAACATTGAGGAATTACCGAAGATCATTGAAGTCGGTAACTAATAATTATATCAGTTGACAGATGATGCTAAGGAAGAACAGACTGGGTGCCTTTTTTAAAGAATGGATTCATAGTCTCTTAGGTATTCATATCATCTAGTAAAAGATAATTTCAACTGGACTTAGGTATGGTTTGCAATCAAATGCTTATTCCCTCGCATTAATCTTATCAAATAATTGACATGCAGATCTCACTCCTTTGGGTCGTGTAAACTCGTTCGAAACCACATACTGCCAATGTCTGCACTCACATGATCAGATTTGAATCCCATGCTGCTCTGAGTTATTTTCTTTGGGGAATTACTACCCTCAATTATTTGAATAACTGATCAGTATCATCTTAAACCAAATATAAGATACTCACGGCATGAAGCAGTAATAACTCTTGCATTGTTCTTCCACACACCACGAGGAAGAGAAGATGGAAATACTGGGAACAACTTCAGTAGTTCGTATATGCATCGACCTGCAGCACGCTGAAGAATACACACGTTGATTCTGCCAACCATGTTACTGAGACTGACGTTTTTCACAGCAAACCACCTTATACTAAAATCTTACCAGCAAGGCCCCATAGACACGCCAAGCTTCATGCCTCTTCATTTCATTTTTCTGCTTCTCAAGAAGCATCTCTGGTTCAAGAAGTTGCATGTATGGTTCAAGATTTGGAAGTACAAGAAGGCGAACCTACTTACAGGGCCACAATTTTACAAAATTTGTCAAATACTTGCAAGCATATTGATCAAATGTAAATAGAAAAATAAAAGTAAAAGGAAACAATAACAAAAAAGTAAAATCTTCAAAGAATCTATGTTTTCATTTGAGATAGCAGCCCGATGCCATGCAACAGATGGAACTTACAGAAAAAGGACAAAACAAAAACGGAATTGCAGTGATGAAATCAGGACAAAATTCATACAAATTCCCACTGCAAATCACACATAGAAAAAGATACAATATCGTAATTTATTATACAAAGAATTCTCTAAACATAAACAAGAAATAACAGATGGAAAAGAAAGATGGGGAAGCATAAAAACAACCTCTCAGGGTGATAAATCATAAAAGTATAAAAGGGAAAATAAAGTAATAATTGAAATTGGTCCTTAACACTTGATCCTTGTCTGTGCAGGCCATCAATCCTCAAATAGTCAATTTTATCCTTAAGGTCCATTTCTTTTCAGTTTCATCCTCCTGTCTATTGCTAATTGAGCAAATAATAAATTTTATAAATTATTACTGACAAATGTTTGGCAGTACTCAACGCGCCAAGCAACTAATGTATTTTTAATTTAAATTAATATCCATGCATAAGACAAAAGCTCCTATACTTCTTCCCCAAATTGAGAATCCAATCAGAGTCCAGAAAATCATCATTAAAGTATAATAAAATATAAGTATTCCTTCCTTCCTTCCTTCCTTCCTTCACTAAATGAGAATGTAATAATGAAAGATGACAAATAAGTACTCCCTCCGTCCCTTTTTACAAGACAAAACAGACAAGAGTGCGTCCCTATTTAGAAGACAATTTACAAAATCTAGGCAGTAACTGATATGTCCCCCCCCCAACAACAAAAAAAAAAAAAATACCCTTGAAAGATGATGCTTTTAATAAATCAGGAGAGAGGATGTGAGAGAGATAGTATTTAATTAAGGGCATATGTGGAAAGATGAATAATTTTGAAGGAACGGACAAGTTTTCTTTCTTTGTGTAACACAGGTAAAATTGTCTTATAAATAGGGATGGGGGGAGTATATGATAAGTATGTTAGGATCTCATCTTCTAAAATGCCATGAATAGACTTGGGAACATAGTTGAATTGAAATTCATACCCTAAGTATTAAATAGACCAATTTACAAATGCAAGACTGATTGACAAAACGGTCAAGCCTTAGAGATCATATATGTAATTCAGCAAAACAACTCATTCTTTCCAGCCGTATCTTTTCTGCAAAACAATCTCATCCATCTAGGTTTCTCTAAAAGGAATTTTAATTGGCTATTTCAAATAACAAGCAAGACATTTTACAAATGTCACACATCGTATATTCACTTTCCAGCATTGGTATAAATGTATGATTATCCTATTTCTAAAAATAATGAAATGAATGTTTATTCAATTTTCATTTTATTTATTTAAAGTACTTCCATGACTGTCAGGAGCATGTAAAAGCACATACCACATTGGCTCCCAGAGCTGCCAGCCCTTGAATTGCACCATAATGTTGCGTCATTGCTTTCTTGGGATCCAAGAAAGCATTCAACAGGGTTTTTGTGAGGCGGGACTGGAGGTTACTGTAAACATGTCCAAATCTGTACCGCACAAATATTAAAACAAGAAAACTTGTGGTGCAGTCAAAAAGATCCCAACATGCATGGAATACAAATATTTCTCAATGAAATGCATAGAAAAATAGCATCAGAATTCATTAATTCAAAGTACCCACTTCGAGGAGCATAAAATATAAATAGAGTAATTCAGTGGAAAGTAAGTTCAAGTAAAGCAAGATTTGATCTCAAATGGCTGCAAATATACTTCAAACATAACAAGATACCTACAGTCGTTGACAACCTTTTGAAAATCATCCAACTTAAAAATAATATTTTCTGGTTAAATTGGATCATATCTTTCTACATTATGGGCAAAGAGTATCTTGTGCTTCCGTACAAGGGAGAATAACAAGCTTGGTTATCGCTAGTATTTTTTTCCAGGCAGTATTTACTGCTTCTCAGTTTTTCCTGGTAGTTTAATATTCTGAATATAGAGCTAAGGTTTTGATGTGTAAGTTGGAACCTTAATAGGAAAGTTCAATTATTTGAGTTTTCCTTGTCATGGTGTTATTGATGTTGACTACTGTTGGGTATCACCACATGCACTTAGCACATCAAAGTTTCAGAAGAGTTAAGAATGTCAAGCTTCCTACTCCTTTTGGGCAGCTACTTATTCAGTTATTTTATGATTTCTGTATTTGATTTTATTGGTAAATTGGAATGCAATTAAGATAACTTGTGTTTTTAATATTGTTTGGTTTCTATCCTTCTCCTTCTAGAACGTTAGCTCTTAACATCAGAGTGAGTGTGAGTGAGTGAGTGTGTGGCAATTTGGAATTGATCAAACAAAATCAGAGAAAATATTCACAACTTTAGTCAGTAAAACTATTGTGCTTAAGTCTTATAATTGAGTTGTTTCTGAGCAACTGAAGAGACTTGGGGACTTGAAAGGAGTGGAGATCCTAAAAGTCGCATTATGAAAAATTTGGCACCAGTAAGAGTTGTATTGCTGGGTACAAAATGCACCAATGAGCATCTACACAATTGAGAAGTGGAGAACAATTGGGACAACATCAAGGAGACTACACAAGGGTATCAGGCTGAGGATTTCTTGGTGTTATGTCATTGAAAGGGGGGGCTCACAGTCAAGTTTAAGTGAGAGAACTTGTTAGTTGTGGTGCAGTATTCCAGTGTCAAAGCCTTGATTTGGTTTTCTTGTAAAATGGATTTCATTAGTAACAAGAAAAAACTAGAAAATTCTTCATCTTTAGGGGGAGCATTGAAAAACCTAGGATGAGTGTTACAGAGTAAGGGGACATGTTAGGATTAGACGTCTGTTATTTTCTGGGAGCCTTGAAGACTACCTTTTTAGGAGTCTTATTATTTTCACATTTTGTTATTGATGGAGACTTGTTAGCGTAGGATATCAAGTCTCACATTGAGTAGTATAGGATGCTCAATGAGATATTTAAGTGAGTTGATTCTCCCACCTCAACAGCTAGCTTTTAGGGTAGAATTCCCCATCCCACTAAGAAATCCATCAATGGATACTAGAGCTAGGTTGTTGCGATTCTAGGGAGAGCTATCCATGGAGGATTCTAACCAGTAGGAGACCAAGGTAAGTTCCATGAAGTGCAGCCATTTGGATGTCAGCTTTCCATGGAGGCCCAATTGATGAAGACTTGGTAATATGACAAATCAAGTTCCACATTAAGTAATATGAGATGCTCAATGAGGTATTTGAATAGATTAGCTCTCCAACCTCAATAGCTGCTCTTAGGATAGGGTTCCTCATCCCATTAAGGTACCCATCAATTATATTGCATTTATCTTGTGCTCAAACTA